ATATATTAGTTTTCAGGCAAACATTTTCATTTTAATATTGTGATTTATGACTGAAAGCCTTGAGGGTTTGAGTGCATTCACATTTTATGTACTCAAGCCGTTGCTAGCCTATAATATCAGTGAATAGAAGTTAATGTTTTAATGTTCTTCACACACCTCCAGGCTGCATCAGTCAACAGCTCTTTAGATCAGATAATGAGATATCTCCGCACACATCTCCCAGATAACAGGTACAGGCCCAGCTTATGCATGAGAGGTGTCACTGGGCTGCTATAGCCACAGGTGTCTGGAGCTGCAGGTGGAGGTTCATTTTACATACATTTTATTTGGCTTTTTATTGATATAGGTCCTGCAAGATAGCCTGATTCATCAGCCAGTTTCACTTTGTGGAAACTATGTGACCTCGCAGCATTAGGATGTGTTCACTCGACGGTAGGTGGGTACTTTTTTATTTAACCAATCGCTGCTATTTGGTTGTGACGTATGTAATGCACCACTAACGGGGCTAACTAGTATATTTGGCTTTTTCCCACATCCTGTAGGAAGAAGCAATAACGTCTTTCCCCTTGATATCCACCAAACATTCTCCTTGTTCCAGCTTTAAATCCTCGATCTCGGGAATCGTTGCCAACACAGAATGTGTGTGTAACAGGGCTATTGTTATCGTTCCTCTGTCAGTTTAATGGGGTTAAGGTTAAATTGGCTTTAACTTGTTTCCTTTTGTCTAATTGAATACTCTCTTTCTCTTCTTTATTCCTTCTCTCTTTTTTTTTTTTCAATTAGACAAAAGGAAACAAGTTAAAGCCAATTTAACCTTAGCCCCATTATTTCTAGTGCATCCCATTGCCATGTAGTAAGCTGCTTTGTACTTGTAAGAGAGAGAGAGAGAGAGAGGGAAAAGGTCTACAGGGTTTTTATGCTATAGGCACCGGCCCCCAGCTGCCAATTATATGGCCATTGGCCCACACCAAACAAAAAACCCACACACAAAAAAAACCACACCCATTAAAGGTGGCAGAGGAAAGATACCAATAGCCCTGTTACATGTGGCTCTTCGCTGATTGGCTGGTGCCCCAACTTGCACTTCCAGGGTTCTTGCAAACCGTCTAGTATATTCCAATTCCTGACCTAGTCACTGGAGAGAAATGGACTTGAGCAGAGGCACAAGGTGGCGCCAGCTTGGCTACCTGCAAGACCCTTCTGGCAGATTTTTTTTTTTTTTTACTTAGTCACTGAAATGCCAACAGACAATTCCCTTTCTGCAGTTTCTAGCTCTTGCTTTCGTCCTCAGGATCTCATCCAGTTACACGCTGACTACATTCTTTTAACAGTAATAAAACATTTTTTTAAAAGTTTGGTTTCATTCCTTTTCAAACTTTTCTGCAGCAAATGAACCATGTTACTCTCTGTTTTGATTTTAAAATTATCATGGCCGCCATCTGCTGAAGCCTGCTGCTCTGTACTGGGAGTTTGTCCTGACCTCAGAGAGGAGCACAGGGATCTGAACAGAAGCTCAAACACGAGGAAGTGCATGTGTACCCTAGATAACATGGACCTCCTCCACACGCACACCTTTAGCTCAAACTAACTGTCTCTTGGTGCCTGTCCATAACAGTGGCAGCTAACTCTCACCGCTGAGGGCTGTGTGCTTCCTGAACAGCTTGAGCAAATACAGGAAGTGGTATTGACCTGAAATCAAGCCTATCGTATGAGTGACATCAATATTATCAATGTTCAGTGCAGTTACTTAAAGCCTGACTGTGTAATTTTTTAGTCAAAACATACCAAACAGCCTTTGGTTTTGTTTTCCTTTTATTGCACTGAAAAACAGAAAAACATGATGTGATGTGCCCTTACTGTGAGTAGGCTTACATCTTCACAAATCTGGCTCTTATGTGCCCTGGAAGAGTGCCTTCTCTTGTTCGATTGGCTACAATATTCCACAGTATGGCATAAAACGCTATAATGATTCATCATTCGATTTTACTTAGAATTTGTTCGCTCGATGGTACTTTTTTTCATTTAAGCAATCACTGCTATTTGGTCATGGCACATGTAATGCGCTGCTAACAGGGCTAACTGGTATATTCATTTTTTCCCCCAAATCCTGTAGGAAGAAGGGCAATAACGTCTTTTCCCTTGATAAAATTCAACAAACATTCTCTTTGTTCCGGTTTTAAATCCTGGATCTCAGGAATTGTTGACAACGCAGCATGTATGGCTCTTCGCTGATTGGCTGGTGCTCGAACCCGCGCTTTCAGGTTTTTTGCGAACTGTCTAGTAGTGTAATCCAATTCCTGACCTAGTCGCTGGAGAGAAATTTAATGGAGGCACTAGGTGGCACCAGCCTAGCCAATAATACATATATATATATATATATATATATATATATATATATATATATATATATATATATATATATATATATATAATGCATTTTTCTCCACAAAGAATCTTCTTAAGTGTGTGTAACACCTGGAATTTACAGATAGACAAAGCAAGCCAGTCTATGTGTGGGTCTAACAGCCATACTGCAGCTTTTATTTACAAAAGTGTTAAAAGTGCTTTTAACAGGTGAGGATGCTACTGCAAGGGTGAGGCTCCACCCTAAAGCTGGGGTGAAGGAGACATGCTATGAGTGAAAAACAAACAAGATTAATACATAGAAAATGGCTACCACAACTGAAAACACCCAATTACAAGTGCCACCATCACCAATAACTATAAATAAGGTCACCCTCTAAGCGAGCCCCCTCCACACCCAGCTACCTCCATCCCACACCCACTGCAGAGTTATAACAAATTGACAATCAACTCAAAGTAAAACTCAAAAACAGCAACCAGCACTGAGCCTCTGATCTGGACCGTTAAAACCCAGAAATAGCCATGTGTTAAGGCCTGCTCAGGAAAAGGAAGTCACCTGGTTCCCCTCTGACCTTTATAATACCACATGATCAGCTACCTTGCCACATATGGTTGTAACATTCTATTGGCATCAGTGTGTGTTGTTTTAAGGTGCACTGTGACTTAGTGGGGGGGGGTCCAAACCTGCTTGTCTTCATCAAGGGGGGGACAAGATATTATTGTTTTGACTGAAATGTTCCACAATATGGCATCAAACGTATATTTTCCTGCATTTATTCAATGACTTGTGTTTTTCTTACTAAAATGCATAGAAAAACAGGCATTTCCTCTCCTCAGACTTGACCTGTAACTTGACCTGGTAGCGTCACTGCTTGTCTACTCTATCATCATTGGCATTCCAGACAAAGCCAAAACATCCCCATGTCCACGGAGACAAACAGATGGCAAAATGTTAGTAACCCTAATGTTAAAAAGGCTATTCTAATTTAGGTTAAATGTTTTCAGTTAATTAACTACAGCAAATTCAGCATCATGAATAGTCCTCCAGCTTGATCCTGGAAGTGGGTCTCAACTTATCACATTACTCTAGCACACATGCTGAAGAATCTGACAAATGCAAGAAACATGAGGAATATGGGTGAAGGGACCATCACCACCCTTATTTCTGTTTTATCACCACTATTTTATTGTCAGATGGCTATATTTGTCCTCTGCAATTGACCCATGCAATCTTTAAGACAGTGTTAATCCTGTGTCTTTGGGTCACCTGTCAAGAGGTTCTGTGGTGCTGCACCTGGCTTCCATTTCCAGACTCTGTACCCAGATTTTGGTCAGAAGTACCTACAGTCTGAGGATTAGCCAACAATGCATATTGTGGGTTGATAATATCCCACCTCCGCTGTTGATATAGAGATTAGCCTAGCCTACTAAGTACTGCTACATAGTCAATCACAATTACTTTGCTCACTTGTGTGTTTCAGTAAAGCACAGTGTCAGTTCAAATTAATAGAAAATACAGTAATGATTCACATTAAACAAGTAAATGAGTTACCCTAAATAAAAGAGAGCTGTCTTTTATTTATGTAGGCTACTTGTTGCATAGCCAGGCTGGCGCCATCTGGTGCCTCCGCTCAATTTCATTTCTTTCCAGTGACTAGGTCAGGAATCAGAATACACAGTTCGCATAAACCCCAGAAGTGCGAGTCACTGGCACCAGCCAGTCAGCGAAGAGCCATACATTCTGTGTTGGCAACAATTCCAAAGAGAATGTTTGGTGAATTTCATCAAGGGGAAAGAGGTTATTGCTCTTCTTCCTACAGGATTTGGGAAAAGCTTAATATACCAGTTAGCCCCCTTTAGTGGCACATTACATACGTCATGACCAAATAGCTGCAATTGGTTAAATAAAATAAAGTACCCACCTACTGTTGAGCAAACAAATCCTAATGCTGCGAGATCAGACGGTTTCTACAAAGTGAAACCGGCTGATGAATCAGGCTACTTGTTGCATTGATAATATGATAATTTAGTACACATGTATTTGTATTATGTATTTAGTCCTAGGTTAATGGAGGTTATTGTGTGAATCTGCTATAGTCCTGATTCTGTCTTGAACTCACAGAAAAAAAAAGTGCATCCCAAGCATCACATGGTCCAGCAGCAGCAGCATCATGTGGGTCTGAGAAAAGCCTTGTGCTGCGGTCATCCTGCCAATTTAATATAGGCCCCCTGGTTATTTTGCTATTGCTGTTTTTGGAATTATTTGTGATTATAGTTAACTTCAGGCAAAGGTGATGCAACATAGGACAAAAAAAATGTCCTAATTTTGTTTTTCTCTGTTTTTTTTTTTTTAGTTATTTTTTCTGTAGCCCTACCAAATTTGACCCTTAGTAGGCAAGCCTCATCTGATTTATGCAAAGCTATTAAATGTAGAATTAAAAATAAGACACACCTTTATATTTTTTAGTTAGTTTTTTTTTGTTTTTTTCGTACAAACGGGCAGATTTAGACCACAAACAGTAGCTGGGAAGAAAACGTCATTCTTATCAAATTTACAGCTGCAGAGGGTAACCACAGCGAGTTGGGCAACCCACCACATACTGACAGGAACAGCATTTTAAAGCCTGGGGTCAAATGTTCAGACTCTAACTATTAACTGAATATACTTATATATCTGAATATATTTTATGTTATGATTCATTTTCAGAGTAGCTGTCTTTACCAGGCCCAAACCCAGATAAACTGGACATAGGAGGTATGAAGCAGTAACTGAACAATGGGACAATTTTTGTTTACTGTAAGTATAATTTTATTCAAAGGTCCTATACGTTTGGCAAAACTGACTCTTGTGAGCTTTGAGCCATGTTAGAATGTTTTTACCTCATCAAAAACAGACCTGAAGTTGTGTTTTGTTCCACTCACACGTCTGAGTAACCCTTATTATTATTATTATTATTATTATTATTATTATTATTATTATTAGTCTGTCTAGCATCCCCAAATCTAAGAATGCTCTGGTCCACCTTGTGATGTCACAAAGCAGAAGTTACAAATTAACAACTACCTTTAACCTTTTATTCAGTAGAAATTGGCAATTCCAGGGCTCAAAATACCCAAATGATTCTAGTGAAGGTGTAAAAAGTCACAGAATGTTTTCAGTCTGAGAGAGGAAATCTCTAGTCTAAATATGCAGGGCTTGTGTGTTAAACATGTGTGAATGAAACAAAACAGAACTGCAGTTATGTTTCTGATAATGAAACAACAATACACAGATCAGAAAACAGTGTAATATGGGTCCTTTAAAAATATAATTACAAGATATGATTATATTCATTTCTTTGTAAAAAAAAAAAAACAAAACAAAAAACAAGTTCTGTATTTTGCTGAGTTAGTTAATGAATTAGTTAATTAGTTGATGAATAAAAACTGAACCCCAGCTAGGTTGCTTATCCTCTCCATCTCCTGTAGAACAAAACAGCTGGCCTGAAAAATGTGTACAGTGGATTGAAAGCCTTTAATTGTAATCTGGTGTAATCTCAGTCATTGCCTATTTTTGTGTAAAACTTCCCTAAACATGCGTAGAATGAATGCACTTGAATGGTGGGATTTCCTGGCTGTCTCTTATCGCTTAGATCCTGAAACAATGGTCTCCGCCCACGCTCCGGTCCGGTTTGGAGGGTCTGGTCCGAGTCCTCCTTGCACCCTCAGACCAGATGTTCCTGACCAAAGCGTGCTGAGCAGGAAGACCACTCTTATATGTGAGGACTTGGGGACATGGATGACTGGACGGCAGACTTCCTTAACACAAAAGTCCAGCGGATCTGAATGACTTTAGTCTTGGCAAGAGCAGAGGAACAACCTGCTCTGAGCACGTGCAGATGGCCAGCAGCATGTAAGCAACAAATGGCCCTCATATGTGACTTGTGAAGAAAGAAACAAAGAATATTGAGAGAGCATTACACAAATTATCCATTCTGAAATGTGTATCGTATTATGTGTTTACAGATTCAATTTCAAAAACATTGTCCAGATGACAGCCTTTGAAAACTCTTCCACCATCTCAATTAAATATTAGAGGCCCATGGTTATGCTGTCCAGGTCTGGGCAGGGTCTAAACTACTGATTTTCTGGTTGGTCAGCAAACTTTGAGCCACTTCCATTGTCTAGAAAAACCATACAAGGGCTGCAGTACTCTTACTCAAATGAAATTCTTCAGATGTTCAAACCTTCATTATCATTAAAGCTGGATAAGAGTATGAGGAAAAACTCACTTGCCAGTAAATTTTATACTTTTATTTACATTGACACATTTTAATAGCATCACATCAAATGTACACAGTGTCACTAAAGCTTTAGGTTAAATAAATATAGAGCCTCTGCAGGGGAGGAGGAGGAAACTGTCACAGGAAAATAGTCTCTTTTCACTGTGCCTTTTAGACAGTGATGGTGAGCCTCATTATAACCAAGCAGATCGACGTAAGCGCTGCCAGGGTTAAAGTCAAGAAAATTGCCAAAAAGTAAGTGATTTTTTTTGTTAAGTTTCCATGGTGACTGACACACAGGGAGCGCCTCCAGTTACAATCAACATTTCTGAGCACATTTAGGCTAAGAAAATACAGCATCAAATATTCTGCACCGATGTACCATATCTTCATTTGTCCAAAAGCATCAACTTAAAATATAATACGTACATTAATATTTACATTGACAGTAGAGTAGAGACTGTGGGTTCCTATACAATGATAAGGAGTGGCACCTCTTTAAACCTTCTAATACACTTGCATACACACACTATTTAGGTCTATCCACACATACAGGACACTTACATCCACCAATGGGGAAGTCCTATGAACATAGAGGTGCTCAAATCCCCAAAGCTGGATCAAGAAACAGCTGGAGAAATTTGGGAAAACTGCTACTGGCCGGATAGCAATAAGGCCGACTCTAAACCATGTTGTGTTGTGGCTCGGACCCCTGTAGCTTTCCCAGTCCTCACTGCAGTCCACTTTAAAATGGCATTCACGTGACCCTGATTGTATCAACTTTACAATGCAAATCTATCTACACAAAAGTTTCCTTCATCATTGTGTTTCAACGAAAGGGAAACTCATCTCAAAATGGCAGTACCGTCTGGTCTAGTGCTTCTTGTAAACAATAGTCATATACTGGATGCAACAGAGTCAATTTTACAACTGTACAAAACTCCAAAGGTTAATCTCCATCTTTGCTTTGCCACCCACTAAAATGTCACCAAACACACACTGGAAGCTAGCGTACCAATTCTAAAAGAAACATTTTAAGACACTGATGTTTGGTAGGCTAATCCATGTAAAATACAAATGAGTTTGCTAAGTTTTAGGTGCACCCGCATGTCTGCTCTCCCTGTCTAATAGCTTATATACTAGTATTTTTTTAAATCATTATTTCAACTGAATTGGCCCCCAAATATACTGTTATCTCCTTCATTTTAACAGAGCTGAACAGGTGAAAATAATACTGACAAAAACAAAATAGAAAGCTGCATTTCATGATATGAAAAATGATGTGGAAAGTTCCTTGAAGTGCCTCGAGTGCTTAATTTCCTCCGAGAATTGCAACCAGTATCACAGTGCTACATGGATGCATGGCAGAAACAGTGTAAAGTAACAGAACTCAACATAAAAAAAGAAAAGAAAAAAAAACTATAGAAACAAAATATGGTTTATGAAATGTGTAAAGAATTTGTAACTGACAATAAAAAAGTCATAAATGTGGTAGATGAAAGTTTTGGAGGAGCGTTTCCACCTCTTTGCACCAAACCCCAAAACAAGGGAGCAGTTATAGTCTGTTAAATGTCCTCCCAGTACCAAGCAGGCTGTAACGTAACACGCACAATAAAAGCCATAGATCTTGGTCTCTGTTTTGCCTCTGTCCCATCTGTGGTAGTTAACTCCACAGGTACGAGAGCAGTGAGCGGCCGTAGGTGGGCGTTGGAGGAGGAATGTTCTTTTTTAACAGGCACTTTAAGGGACAGCCATGGTGGGGCGTCTGGTGTTAAACTCTCTGGGCTCTCAGAGTGGTCCCCTCCAGGAAGACCTCATGCTGGAGCAGTAAGGGCTGTGTCTGCAGGTCGTTGTTATTTGGGGGGTGGACCAGACCGGGACTTTGGGAACCAGGCTTCTCTGTGGATCTCGGCGTCAGTGTGAGTCTCGAGCTAAAATTCAGGTAAATCTACAAAAAGCAAAGAGGTGATAAGTGATTTGGCACAGACTGTTGAGAACAATAAGTATAGCAAAGGAAATGAGGATTGTAAAATGTTCTCCTACAAACCATGACTAACAAAGTGTGAGTGCCCATTCCTCTTCCACAGACAGAGATTGTTTGATATTCTAACTTTTGAGTGGATAAATAAACAATTTTGTGAAGATCTGCCAGGAGACTTCTGTTGTGATTTGAAGATTTTGAATCAAATTAAAATTGAGTGGTTTAACTTTTCTGGTGGAGGGTCTGTCAAATGCTTTTCTCCACAGAGGTGCTCCATTGCTTTGTCTGGAATAATTCCCAGACAAACCTGACCAAGTTACAGGTAAGATCTGTGGAGAGGCACCTCGCTCAGACAAAATTTTGTTTCTCTATGTATTTTTGAACTATTAAACCACCTGTAATTGAATAAATGTAAAGTAGAGCTGTTTAATGTCTATTTAATTGTGGAACATTCCAGACATTGACATATCCAGCAGGTGACGGACCCCCAACCAAAAAGTTACACGGTGCACCTTTAAATTGAATTTGACCCTTGTGGCAATCATTAGACTTGCCAATTTGATATTAATGTATTGTTGGTGTCTATGATTGAAACTAAATCCTACTTACTAACTGCTCCCCTGGTAAAATGATATCCTGTGTTACTCTTCTAGCCTCTAAGTGGTCATGATGTTATGGCTGAGCCAAGACTCAAATGGTTAAAATATGACAGAGGGCCATTGTGGCGCAGTGTTCAGCCTCTGGCCTCACAGCAGGGTACTTATTGGTTATAATGTCCCATTGGCCACAATCTTTGGTCTGTAGTTTCTTCCCACAGTCTGAAGACATGTGTTACTGTGTGAACTGGTCATCTAAAGTGCCCGTAGGACTTTAGAGAAAGATCTCTCAGTGGTTGCCCTGTGATTTACTGGCACTAGTCCAGTCTGCCCTGTACTCTGCCTTAGGCTTTAACTCAGCTGGAACAGACCCAGATCCTGCATCAGCCTTGTTAAGGATAAACACTGGTAAATAAATGATCTGATAACATTTCGAACATTTGAGCTTCACTTACAAAACACAACACAGGCCTAATGTGATTGTCTGCAGATTTCTCAGATCTTCTTTCGGGTTTTTCAGGCTGATAGAATTTTTATTTATTTTTTAAACCTTTGATAAATTAAGAGTGACTTGCTTTTTATTCTTTTTCTAAAATAGGAATAACTTTACTTACTTTACTATTTTGTACTATTTTGTAATTAAACTCTTAAATATTGTATCTCTGACACATTTTGACATCTATTTGAAAGACCTGTCACTGTTTCTAATTGTGAGATTTACAGTACGAATCCCTGTAAGAAAAAGTAAGAGAAAATTACGACCACGTCTGTACAGGGTGCACATGCCTCAACACTTTATAAATCGTTTATCTTTTTAACATGTTAAATCTTGATTAACCATTATTGAATCTGCTGCAAGGGCCCACAGAAGCCTCCAGGAGGCCACCGTTACAGCTAATAAATACGCTATTGTTCTGGTAAAAGTGTTTTTTAGTGCATTTGGACCAACATTTCATAAATAATTTCTATTATATTTGCTCCAGCTGGGATCTTAGTCTCAAATCTTGTGTCCAGTTTGAGAAATTGTTTTCCCCAGACATATTTTTATATGTTGCAACACCCTATTTGCAACATAATATAATTAAATAATGCTTGATATGTTACATATTTTGAAAATATTTGGCCAAAATGGAACCAAAACTCATGTAATCTGGGATATAGAGGCCTGAGGTATAGTATGTATATAGGCTGCACTTCTATTTCTCAGCCTCCAAAACATGTAAAGCCATCACAGTTTTGAAACTAGAAAAGCACTCAGAGAGCACAGACCTCTGCCAAGGACTACCCCCATTTTTTATATAAATTGCGATAAAATCAGTCTTCTGGATCAGATCCGGATCAGCCTTTGGAATATGAAAGAGGATCCCTGAGTCAAATTTCATGGGGTTTGGTCAATAATTAACGGAGATATTGAGAAACAAAATTTTTGGCCCCATTTACCACAATGTTAACTAAAATTTCAAAGTGATCCAGAATCCAGGATTTCTTCCGGATCACCTCCAAAATGAAATCAGTTCTTCCTTTTCACATTTCCAACAAATCCTGAAAATGTCATCAAAATCGGTCCATAACGTTTTGAGTTATGTTGCTAACAGACAAACAAACAAACAGACAAACGCCGGCAAAAACATAACCTCCTTGGCGGAGGTAATAAAGCATTTTAAATGGTCAAAATCTATATTTTGATATTTGGATTCATTGCATCCCACCCTGCGATGGAGGACATGGATATGGCAAAAAACCTACATGTTTAGTGGCATCGGACAGCTGCTGCTCAATCCTCTCCACGACCTTCCTGAAGGGGGGCCTTTTGACGGGGTCAGGGTCCCAGCATGATTGCATAATCTGATACCTGACAAACACAAAAACACATTCTTTCACTTTACATCAGTTTTTCACAGAATCTCAGACAGGTAACTTCAGGCAGTGGGTGTCAACAAAATGAAGAATTTAGTAATCAGTGCACCCAGTTCAGTCCTGTTAAGTTTAGACTGGTTTGCTTCAGTTGGGCTTGTGATCGTCTTCAAATGAGTATAGGTTTTGTATAATCTGGTGGTTTTCACTTACATTTCATTGGGTGCAAATTCTGGGGCATCCATCCTGTATCCTTCTTTTATCATTTTGTAAAACTTGGCATCCACAGGCATTCCAGGATACGGGCTATTTCCTGCCATGTAAAATATATATAATAAAATTCTACTGAAATGAAGCACTATAATTTTTACTAATATATATATTAAATAGTCACGCTTACCTAAAGAGAAGATTTCCCAGAGCAAAATGCCATAGGACCACACATCACTCTCAAAAGTATAAACGCATTCAAAGATACTTTCTGGAGACATCCACTTCACTGGCAACCGTGCCTAAATCAGAATCAAACAAAGGAAATCTCACCACAGTGTAATAAAGTCATTTGTACAGACATCAAGCTATATATAAACTAAAGCATAGAAAAACATAGAGAAAGGTATGCACAAGTAAAGAACATGAGAGGTACAGTGCATGTTTAACCCCACATTTTTGAATAGTTTAAGCCAAATAAAACAGTACAGTTTTTTTTTTTTTTTTTTAGCATTTTGCTTTGTGGTGACAATAAATCTTATGAAAATCAACAGGGGCAGGGGCATTTCAAGTACAATCACTATCTTATGTTCTCCCAGAGGACTATTAATACAAACTAGGGGTGTGTGAATGATTATGTAATTTCAATGCTTAAAGACTTACGTTGCCTTTAACCACATAGTTGGAGTCTGTAGTGATGTCGCGGGCCAAACCAAAATCACAGATCTTAGCCACTCTTCCTTGTGTGAGAAGGATGTTGCGAGCTGCCAGGTCTCGATGGATGCACTGAACCACAAAATGCACTATTAGTCAGATATTATCTTATATTATATGCAGATAGTGACAGTAATGTTTGTTGCTTAGTGGCCTGACCTTTTGAAAAAGACAATGCACTGTTAGGTCTATCTGTTTATCTATCTGTCTATCTATGCAGTCTATACTGTATATGTAAGGATTTATAAGTATGGCCCTAAAAGGACAAAGGATAATGCATAACATTAAACCTGGCAAAGAGGCTAGAAGGACTAAATGTTATTATTAGCCAAAACAAGAAAACCTCTGCATTTGGTTAGTTCAGTGTTTAGTGTTTATACTCTCTGTAGTATGAATGACTGATTCCCTTTCTGATGCTGCATTTCCACTCTTCACACAGACTTGACACAGACGCTGACACTGATACGTGATCTTTGTGTGCACAGTATCTTAGCCTCGTTGACTGTTAAATTTTTCATCAACATGCTTCGACATGCATTTTAGATTCATTTACTAGCAGTGGAAATACAATCCATTCTGTGATGACAACACCAGGAAGCAATGTTTTGGTCATTTACGTAAAATCTCCAGTTGTATAATGATTGTTTCATCAATATAACTGACAAGAGTTTGGCATAAGTTGTGTTATTAATGTTATTAATAAAAAGATAAAGTTGTAAAAGCAAAACTTAATGAGAAGCAAAACTTAATAAGAATAATTATAATGAATTAATAATTATAATGAATGAAACTACTAGTTTTCACTGACAACATGTGTTAATATTAATGTAGTAGGCTGCCAATGCAATGTCATAAATCAGTAACATCTCAAAGTGTAAATAATATTAGACTGAGTCATCCATCTTAATTTTGAGATCAGACAAGACTCCCCTGTAGCTAAATATGCCCAGTCAACTGTGTTTAATGACAAGTAATAACTACTACATAAATGATATTGAAGATACTGAGTCAATGCTTACATTTTTGGAGGCCAGAAACTCCATGCCTTTGGCCACTTGATACGAGAAGCTCAGGAGGTCCTCAGTGTCCAGAGACAGACCATCTTCTTCAAACAACTCATTCCCTTCATCTGCCTCAATGTAAGAGCCACCTGTCAATCAAACATCACATATTACATCAAACATCACATATTACATCAAACATCACATATTACATCTCTCCATATTGCCATTTCTCCCTTCCACCTATTACATAATGACTGAATGAATGTGAATGAATGACTTGCCTTTCCGTATCGAGCACCTCTTCTCGGACGTGAGCGGGTGCGTGCCAGCGACAGAAGGCCTCATGGTCATGTAGCCGTTCAAGCTGTCACTGTGAGTAGGAAAAGAGCAGTCTGTCTCAGCTAAGCACAGCATCCCTCCAAACGCTTCAGTCCAAAAAGATCAGCCTACGCACGATCTGTAAACACCACTACTACTACTATCACATCTACTATGCCCCACATTCAAAAGGAATTATGTGTTTTCAGCTAAGAGAAAAGTAACTGTCTTGTTTATTATATGAATGAAAATTAGCACATGACGTGTTAAGGTGTGATTCTAAATCAAGGAAATGACAAACATGTATGACTAAATAAAGACTAAATAAAGTAACAGTAAAAGTTACAAGCTTTACATTTTTTATATTATTCATTCATTCCATACTCAGTAAAGGTAAGATACAACTGTTGCCAGAGTTGCACTAGGGCAGACTGATGAAAGCAAGGCCGCCAGTCTGCAACATCGGCCCCTTTGATCAACAATCACTCGTGCACAAACATATTCACATGCATTCATACTAGACAATATGACAAAATGACAACCAAGGCAATGCCATAGACCAGTACTAAAACAGATCTACAGCAGGACTAAACCAGGGCTAGAACAGGTGGTAAAAATGATGCCATTTAAAGCATTATCATATTTGTCCAATTTCTAGGATATTACATACAAAGCTACAGAAGTCTAGGGGTTGTCTGAAAGAAAAGACTGCATGATGTACTTTCAAAGCCCAAAAGCTCCTTACCCATTGGCCTCTCGCTGTAGCAGCACGTTGCGGTAGTAGCAGTCCTCCTCGTTCTTGTAGCAGATGAAGAACTCTCGTTTTCTGCGCAGGAAGTTGAGCAGGTCTCCGAAGCAGCAGTATTCTGTTATTACCAACGTGGGGCCTGCGCAGAAAGAAGCGTGCCTTAGGGAGCGAACTCAAACAACAAAACAGTTACATGTGTCACTCAAATGTAATGAGCTCTTCAAATACCAACAAACACAAGGAGAGACAGTTGGAACATTATCCTCAAGCCAAGTTTCCACATTCATAATCAAACAGAAGTGCCCCACCTCCCACAGTGCACGCTCCCAGCAGGTTGACAATGTTCATGTGGTTCCCCAGGTAACTCAGCACCTTCAGTTCAGACATCAGTGCTTCTTTCTCTGTGGAATGGGCACTCGCTGCAAAAAAGAGACATTTCACATTTTTCACAAAATTGTTCAGATGCTTGCTACATTACTTTATAAACATGGCTGTTGGATAGGGGTGTAACAATATCCAAGTCTCACGATACAATATCGTCACAGTATGAACCTCACTGCACGATATTTGTTGTGATATCGTGGGAAAACTCATGATATGGAAGGGAGACTCACGATTAGAGATGTAACAATATCCAAATCTCTCGGTAAGATATTTTCATGATATACATCTCACGGTACGATATTTATTGCGATATTTTGTGGAGGCTAACACAACTGTTAATATGATACTCTTAAAATGCCTTGACAAGACTTAATCCAAAGAACTAAGACTTAAAAGTGCTTAGAACTTTTATTTCTTCATGTAGTCTACACTGAAACAGAGCAAAGGATCATGGTCTATGTAGTTCCCTCTGTCTTTTTTGCTGCACCATAACTCTTAATTTAAGCAAAGAGACTTGATGGTCCACGATATTATTGTGAGAACTTTGACGATACAATATCATGATATTTTGGTTATTGTTACATCCCTAGTGTTGGACTGTAAAAAGTGCAGGAAGACCCTCTCCAAAAGTATATGCTAAAATGCACAGAGCCTAAAGTCATGATATAGTTGATCAGACTGGTTTGTACCTAAAGCCCAATAGTTAAACATTACTTAACTAGTGATATATTCATAGTAATAGTTGGGCCACTTCTTGGAAGGACAGTATGTTTACATTTCTACTTTGCCAAATAAATACTATTTTCTACAGAAGCATGCACATCCTCTATAGGTCCATGGTTAAGAAGCACTGCTCTTAGGTCTTCAATTGTTTAAAAAAGCTTTTCAACTTCATATTTACTGTATGCATACATCAATACAGAGAACAAGATCTTCCAGATGAAACATTGAAGCTCATATATTGTGTTAATGAAAATGACTAAAAGGTAAATACCACAAAGTTTGTCATTTGGCATTTTTGTTGAGGTTATTTGCATGTATTTGCATTTGTGTTGCTTACATTTTAACATTTTCACGGCTACTGTCATGACGGAGTCTGCTTTGGAGAGGCCATACGCAGTTGCCTCCACCACTTTCCCAAAAGCTCCAGATCCCAAAGTTTTTCCTACAAAAACAGACCAAGATGTTAAGGTGAGGAGTGGTCTCTTCCCATGATCTGGCAGAGTGCCATGTTACTGGGACATCCGTTTGTGCCCTGGGGCAATTGATGTAGCACCTGGATACGCTGGATCCTGTTGGAGGAGGTTCACTGAAACAACAGCACCAAGTGTCAACATAGAGTGTTGACAGTGAAGGAGCGGGACAGCCTAAAGACCAACTGTTGAACCGGTTTAAGGCACTGACCATAGACATGAGTCACACTTCATATAGCGGGCAAATATACACAAGATACTGGGCTCTATCATCTCAGAGAGAGCCTGATGGAGGAACAATAGTAGTAGTAGTAGTTTTCTGTTGATTGCTACTGTTGAGCTTATGTTTCACTTCATTTCACTAAATTTCAATTCCTCAAAAAATCACAAAACATAGACATTTAGTTGCAAACCAGAGCAAAACATCAGTTTGAAAATATACTGTTGGGGTATCCACTGTAATGTGCAATGATGTTTTAATTTTCTCAGTATGGCTTCAGCTTCACTGTAGATAATTTAACTCTTGCAACAAACCAGTAAATGTTCACGGTGGGAGTGCCCCTGAGTTACAGCTGCCTTTAAAAAAGCCAAGACACATCATAAATTGTTTGTAATCGTGATGATAAGTGCAGAGATCAGAGCACCTACCAAATCGCAGGTTATTCCTTGGAAACTCCCACTGGTGATCATACGGTAGCTGGGTGGGGTCAATATACACATAGTTGTTTCCATGGATTCCCTCGATAACTTTCCACTGGATTTGATATTTGGGTTTCTGTCATGTCAAAGAGGCATTCATTATATTGTGTTTCTATGGATCTGTCTGGTATGAACATGCTGGCACAGTCATGTATGATAGTTTTACCTTTAGATACTTGTAGAAGAGTGCGATGAGAACCAGACAGAGGACGGCTGCTGCTGAAGCTGTGCCAATGAGCAAGGGGGTGAACAAACCATGAGCAACTGTCTTCTCTGCAAACACATACAAAACACAAAACATTTAATATCTTGGGGAAAGCTGTCGTTTCCTCATCAAAAACATAGCCAGACTTGTGTTTTCGTTTATTCACATATGCTTAACACATAAACCCTGCAGGCTGAGCTCTTCTCTCAAACAGAAAACACTGTTCCACCTTGTGATATCATGTGGTCATACAGGAAGTGCTCCACCATGTTTTTAAACTCCATACACCTTCTCTAGAATCATGTGGATATTTTCAGACCTAGAATTGCCCAGCTCTACTTTTTTTTTTACAAAGGGTAAAAGGTATAGTTGTTAACTTGAAAACTAAAACTTCATGACATCTAGGGGTGGGGCATAGCATTTTGGGTTTTGTAAACAGACTGAAAATAAACACACACGCTCAAACATGTGTGAATGAAACAAAACACGACTCTAGGTAACAACACTGCAACGTGGTTTGAAGCTCACAATACATAACGCATCAATTTTGCATTATATAGGTCCTTTAATTGTTGGTTTACATTATTCTCACACTGTAATTATTTTTGTTCTAATTATTTGCTAAGCTGATTGGCTTAAAGGTTGGGTGTTGACAGTGTAAATGGTCATTAGGCTAACAACATGGATTAATTCTGCCTGAAACCCACTCCGGTCAGTTCACAGTGCACTAATCTAATTAAATATGTATACATTGTGTCTCACTGATTTCAACTGTCTGCTTTCCATATGTCAAATCCTTTTAGTTCTATATCATTTTCACATTTCCTATATTTCTGTAAAAAAGTGGGGTTGTCATCATGTAACCACTGTGTCCTGTTCCTTTGTCTTGGCCTGATGCCTTATTGTTTTGCTCCTCCTGTACAGTGGGGTGTAATAAGCTCTTTAGAGATAAGGAGCTTTCTTTCTTTCTCCACTTCGAATCTGAGAATGCCGAGTCTGCAGGAAGTAATCTGCACTAAAGCTGTCAGTGGATACTAGAGCTGTGTATTGTGTTCATCGCTCACACCTCCAGCCCCCCGCCGTCCTCTAGGGGCCCCCACCAAGAGCCCACTGTCCTCCTAACACAGACATAACCAATCACACCTCTTAACGCTCACATTCATGTACCTCGCCACAGTGACCTCCTAAACGTGTGCTCCGTGAGCGCTTGACTTATCGACCCGGGACAACTTCACAGTACTCTGAGTCTACCTACTCTCTCCTCTCTATATTCCTTGGTTGCAGCTTCCTTTTATATGCAACATTTTGAGGATTTTTCCCATTCGACAGATACAATATTTAGTTTTACAAGGCCCATATTACACTATTTTCTAACCTGTTATAATGCTGTTTCCTCACCAAAAAACTAAACTAAATGGAGTTGTGTTTTGTTGTCATTCACAAATGTTGAACACACAAACCCTGCATATTTTCTCTCAAATTGAAAACACTAATGCAATGTGGTAATACAGGAAGAGCTTGACCCTGTTTTAAAACTCCATACATGTTCACTAGAAACATTTGAATCATTTAGCTTTGGAATTGCTGGTCTTTACTGAACTAAAGTTAAAAGGTAGATGGTTAATGTTAAAAAAGGTGGAGGAGGGCATTTTGAACTTTGGAGATGTAGACAGATTAATAATAAAGGATTACTCAAACATGTGTGAGTGGAACAAAACACAACATTATAACACGGGTTAAAGCTCACAAGAGTCAATTTTGTGTATTATTGGACCTTTAAATTGTTAAGCACTATAGCAACTATCTTAATTTCTCATTATTGTGAAACCCATGCATAGCAGATGGAGAAGCCGTTAGAGTAGAGCGGATTTGGAGACAGACTATAAACAATGGCGTGAGATAATGGCTATCAGTAACATCTTTTTTTTAGCCAATCAACTCTGCCCATCTCCTACACATGTTTACCTTACAACTTGTGCCAGTGCATATACGGGCTGAACCCAGGCAAAACGTGCTTTCAGTAAATATTGTGAGCCAAGAAGAAAATCTCATTTGGGGTTTACAAAGTTGTGTGAATACAAAAAGAAAGCCAAGATCAGATTTTCTAAGCTGACGGGTGCACAGAGTCACTGGCAGGTGATATGCACTTTTAAGCCAGCAATACAAAACTAATAAAGCTAGTTAAAAATAAAAAGTAAATAATAGTTTCCAAATCCCATAGGCTCAAGCTGTAAATGCAGTCTCCAGTGCTCTTCTGTCTGACATATTAATGACCAAAATCCTATGCAACTGCTATAGTAACTGAATGTGAACAATAGAGCTGGTATGTCACAATAATTATGTGTTAACAAACACAACAGCAAATAAAAACTATTGCTGAAGGTCCACTAACTTTTCAGGTGTGAATCTAGTTACACATTTAAGATTTAAACTTATCTATTTAGCATTTATTCAATTACAGGTGTTTTTATTGCAAAAAATACACAAAAAACCTGCATTCTCACAGTCAGTGGGTTTGATTCTCCACTGATCTGCCCTGTAACCCATGGAGAAGTTTAAACCACTGTGAGAAACTAAAAGTACCATGTAGTGACAGAAAGATTGTGTATAATCTTTTACAACTGGCTCTTTCTAAACATCGTGGAAAATGACATTATCACAAGCAGAATCCACAAATAAATCCACAAATAAATCCGCAAATAAATCCAACCATATCAGTAGTTATCAGTTCAAACTTGGCACTGAACCACCAAATGTATTCCCAACCATATGTGGCCTTGAGCTCCTCACCGCTGATAGAGAAGAGCATGTAGGCCTGCTCTCCCTCTGCTGTGGCCACACACTCCAGCGTACTGAAGCCTCCTCTGCTAATGTTCACGCGGCTCTCCACCCCTGTCTTCCCAAACAGAGGACTGAACAACGTCACAGTCATCACATTCTGCTCTTCCTGTGTGGCATTCACCTGCTGTGAGCACCTGCAAAAATCAATGAAAAACCACAACATAAATCACATTCTCATTTGACAGCTGTAAAAGTGAGTTTGAGTTATGCTGAGTAGGGGGTGTGATGCAAACTGGAGGTACTACTAAATCTGAAGCTGTTATTAGTTGCTTCACTGGAACAACAACAGGTGAGCTGAACTCTCTCACACATAAAATTAGCAGTTTTTCCAGTTACGCTCACCTGTTTGTTGTAAATGAAACCTCTAAACAGGACCATGAACGCTCGTATTGATCACAGGCTCCTGAAAATGTGCTGTTTGAATCCATTTTGTTTTTTTCTTGAGCTTTGATGCTATCTCAACACTTTTTTTGAGCAATATTTGTTAATTTGTACATTGTTTCACCATGTTGACTGTATCAAAAGCTAGGGTGACCAGACATCCCTGTTTACCTGGGACTGTCCCAGTTTTAAGCCCTGTGTCCCCTGCCCCAGCAGATTTATCCAAAACCACCAATTTGTCCCAGTTTTATACATTAAATGTCCCACTTGTCCCTATTTTTGACCAATTTGATCCCTGCCAACAGTAAAAAGAGGCATAAATTGTCATTTGTTTAGGTAAAATACAGAAAAGCTGCTTAAAAATTACCAAAACACAAAGAAAATGTGACTATACTGACTCAGATGGGTCGAGTGCAGAACAGTTTTCATTAATTATACACTCCTTTCACAATTTTATTATTACCAACCAACCCAAACCAGGAGTGTCCCAGTTGCCTTTGAAAATCTGGCCACCTAAGAAAAAACCTGTCATTGCAAAGTATCAATTCAGGAGTTGTAACTGTTGGTAGTTCTGTAAATTTTCCAGTTATAAGTTAAGTGATAGTCCTGATAAAGCCTGGTTTAGATTTAGTTTGGAGCTGGTTTAGTCATAGTTTAGTCTTGGTTTAGTACTTTAGTATAAAGGTGCACTATGTAACTTTTCTCAAGGAGGGTGCCACATCTGCTTGTCTCCATGAAGGAGATATTGCTTTGCTCAAAATGTTCCACAATATAGCATTAAACTTATCTTATCTTGCATCTACTGATCTGCAGGTGTTTTTTTTGTTCATTGAAAACTGTAACTTGTCCTAGTGGCTTCACCTGCTTCTCTGCAGGGAGGCAGATAAGTTTAATAAAGTAGGAGATCCTCCTCCAGAAAAGTTACATCGTGCACCTTTAATCAATCTAATTGCACATACTAGTATCGGTAAATAGTTTAATAGGTAAGCAGTAAAAAAATCTTTGGTAAAATTGTGTATTCATTAAGGAACAGAGAGTTGCATGGTTGCTCCCAGGTCATACATAGGCTAACCCAGGTCACGCTACGTCCTGTTTCCCTCAGAAGACCTAATTGGATTCATTGTCATCTAAACGTTGGGATAATCACTTATGATTCATTGCACGGATGTCCCGCCCACAACTGCAACAACAGGTAGGCCCGCAAGGCAGTTGGTTTTATATTACTGAGCAAAACTAGTGTGAACAATACTTCATCTAGTATTATATTTAATTGAGGACAAAAATGCACGCGTTATTATCACTAATCTGTTTTTTCACGTTGCTGGTTAATAATCACTTCTGTCTTCCATGGACTTTTTCAGTTTGGACACTAAGCCCCCCATTTTTCATCATATTTGGTTTTATGGCCACTATTTTAGATTAAACTATGTACTATGCAAATATGAAACCGTGACTTTCCGTTTAATGTATAACTCATCTGATATCTACAAGCACAAACCGATGCAGGTCAGCAGAGAATTTGAAATATATCCTTTAGTTAATCATTCAGGATATGCAAATATTGGTGTAATATGTTGTGTATGTCCATTGTGTCCTAATGCAAATAGACTATGCATTAAAAATTTTTGACAGGTCTGACCTAAGCTATTTTGAGAGTCAACCTAATATATCTCTTAGTTAACCAAATATTGAAGCTGCAGCTTAGAGTAAATAAGCATTGTCTGACTTCGACAAAGTTTAGCGAGTTCAGTATGTTGAAAACTCTACACTACTAAATCACATTACATACATGCAGTTTAGATGAAGACACAAGAATCAAACTGGTGCATGCTCTCAAATCAACAGTACAAGCACTTAACGACATTTAATCCAAATATAAAACACCATATTGCATTGCATGTCTTATCTGGTACTTTTCAGGTCATTAACACTGCATTGTGATGGTACACGATGTCTATGCCTCAGCCGTCAGAGTTCCTTATCAGAAGCTGAAACACAATATAAGTTGATTTCTGCATACAACTCTGACTCACCTCACATAAGACTGCTCACAGTAGAACCACGTGATCTGTGGAGCGGGGAAACCTTCAGCCACACAGCGCACCTGACCATCCACCGGGCCCATGTGTTTAACAATCTCTGGTTTACCTAAAAAAAAAAGTTTTTAAAAATTACATCTCAGCACGTCTGTGACATCAATTAAAGATCCTAAACTTCACAAAAATGACTCATGCAAGCTTTAAGACATGTTAGAACGTTATTACCTCATCAGAACAAACCGTTGTATTCCCACACGCTTGAGTAACGCTTTATTATTAGTCATGACATCATAAGGTGGAGAAGATCTCAGCGTAAATATGCAGAGTTTGTGTGTTAAACGTGTGAATGACACTAAACACAACTCTGGGTATGTTTTTGATGAGGAAACAACATTATAACATAGATCAGAAAATAGCGTAACATGAGCCCTTTAACAATACAGTAATACAATATTGGTCAGGGGTATAGAGCAGGACCTCTTCTCAAAGCTTAAAGGTCATCAAACATGTTGTGTTATTGATGTGAACTAGAAAAAAGTGATTGAAGGGAATGGCATTTGGACTTACTGATGACAAAGATGGTGAATGACTGGTTTACTGATGTGTGTCCATTTGTCGCTTTGAAAGTGTAGACACCGCTCTCCACTATCTTCAACCGCACCAGCCGCAGCTCACTCACAAACCTGAAACAGACAGAAGAGTTAATTGTACTGCTTGTAAATGCTGTTGTTCAGTCATTGCATGGATAGTGGTGTGACTCAAAATCAATTTTCCAAAATTATCCGCATAGATTTACTGATTTTCAAACATGACTGCTTCAAAAGAGCATGTCAGACTTAATTGAAGTGATCATGTATAATTAGTAAGCAGTACTAATTACAAAACTGCTGTTTGTTCCTTTATAATGATGTCCTGAGGCAAGAACCAAATGTAATATGCTTAAAATAGCCCACCATTTCAGTCAATGGAACTCTGGGTTTGTTGTAAAAGGGCACTTCCAATCCTGACAGTTTCCATTTCAGTGGAAACCCTGAGGCCTTCTTCAAATTTCAGCCAAATTTCTCACGTAGCTGCACTCGGCCACTGACCCGGCTCCAAAGCACGGTGTTACATTTCTCTAAAAGGTGATAATGAACTTTTTGCCGCTCCTGTGTGGCACTTCAATTGAGTGTTGCGGTGTGCATTTTACTGGTACATGTTAAATAATGTTAAATATCACTGTTGAAATGCTGTGATTCTAGAACTGTCACTATTGTTACGACTATAAACAAACAGGCCGAAACAAGAGTCAGGTTTGTGAAGATGCAAGCCCACTCAGTCTAAGGACACATGTTTTTCTGTGCAGTAAACATAACTTAAATGAAACAACAACAACATGCTTTATTTTACTGTATTGTCTAAAAAGTTATGCAAAGGGATTTAAATTAACTGCACCCTTCATGACAAGTACTACTGGTTGTGCAGGAGCAGCTTCTCTCTGCAGCAGTTGTTTGACTGAGCCTTGTACCTGTACTGGTGGAAGTACGTGGTGATGACGTGATCCGTGGTGTTGTGGAGGCCAAACTCTCTGAAGGACCAGGAGAAGCTGTGTGGTTTGGGGTAGGCCTCCATGTCCACCTTCAAAGTCAGACTCTCCCCTGACCGGACGTGATGGGTCGTGTTCGTCTGCGGCGTGAGGTTAATAAAACCCTTTTCTGAAAACCATAGAGCAAAACAGTGCCACTTTTAAACATATATTTGATATTTTTTAATTGATTTGTGTAAGATAGGCTCTTTTAGGATGCATTACAGTGCTGTGTGCTCATAGACTGTACAAAGAAGTGGACTGAGGGATAAAATAGCTAAATAAAAACACTAAGATCTTGTAGAGGGGCTTAATATGAACATTTAAAGACCAAAACGATGATGTTCACTGCAGCAGTTACAAAGAGAGGGGTGACAATTTGTGACACCCAGAGTGTTTGGAGCTGAAAGTGCCCCCATGCTCACTTCCTATTTTGAGTGTGGCGGCTAGCAGGTTAGTTATGTCCATTTATATATACAGCCTATGAGCATGACTGATGATTAAAATAATCAAAAAATGCTCTGACACAGAAAAAATATGTGCTTGCAGTGTCAACTCTCAATTCACAACAAAGTGCAATAAACTCAAGATATGAAAAATACCGGTATATATTTACAAGGAGTGTAAAAGGATCTAAAAACAAACAAAAAGAGACTAACACTAACCGTAAACATCGAGCCAGAGCGACTGTGAGCTGACCCCCTTCTCGTTCATTGCCTTGCACTGGTAGCGGCCCGTGTCCTGGGGCACTGCGTTCTTAATGTTGAGGGTGGCACTGCTCACATATTCGATCGGCTCCATCTCGATACTGGTTTTAGTGCTCACCTCTGCCGGTTGCTGTGGATACCAGACGGCACCCTGTCAACGCCCAGAGATCTCTAAAGATTAACCCCGTCTGCACGTCTCTGCGCGCCAAGCACACTTACCAACAAAGACACGCACACGCACGAATGGATGCAGTGCAAATATACATAACCCCAAAGAAAACAGGGGCAATACTGACCAATGTTGTGTAAAAGTAACTGCAGGACCTAATGGTGAATGTGAGCAGAAGTTTAAACATTTGATTGTTTGATTGTTAGTCTGTTTGATCATATCTCCTTCAGGGAAAGGCCCTGAGGGAGCTACAGTTTTGATATTTTGCTAAACAAATTATGTATTTCTGGATTTATTTGAACAGGATACATTCCCATATGGTACTTTAAAAGGACGATGTAGTCAAACTTTTTACATTTAGACAACTACATACTCAAACTCATACTCAAAAATGTACTTTCTACTTTCAGCTATAAGTACTATAGAGGCGCCTCCACTACTGTTATTACTACTTCATTTTATTGCTACTATGTCTTCTATTTATTACCTACCGTGTTGCCAAGATAAATAAAATGAAACATTTAAATAAATCAATCAATCTTTTGTTGTGTCGCTACCAGTTGCAAGCTCTAATATAATACAATCTGAACTGCTGCTTTTGAATAGACCAGTTTGTTTTTGTTTTTCAAGGCAGTTCTAACTCCCATTGACTAATACAGTTCTGCCTGAGACTGTATTTTGATTTGGCACTACACACAGGGAGCAGCAGATGTTATTTTCAAAGGTAACTGATTGGCTATGATTATCTGACCATAGCACATCTCAATCCTGATGTACAGTGCTGTGTCCCAGGACAGTACAGAGGTCTAGTACAGAGGGGCACTAACCGAGCCGGCCGGGGTCAGCCACTCCAGCTGGATGTCACTGTTGACGTTGGATGTGTTGCAGGTGAGGGACAGGTTCTCCCCGCGGATGAGAATCATGCGCTTTGGAGCCTGCATGTCAATGACAGGTTCAGCACGGGGGACTGCACAACCAAGACAAGAAAAAAGACTGTCATTTTAATTTCAAAGTTAAATCTATGCTGGGTACACTAAAACAGAAAGCTGTAATCACAACCCCCCAAAAAATCTAACTCTACTACAGCTGCTGCAAGCTTTAATAATATGATAATTAAATGATTACCTTTTTATTTTAAAAATACATTCTTAAGTAATGATAATAATAAGATTACATGAGCACTTTTTGAACCCTGAAAGGTGATTTACACAAGCTAAAAATAAGAATGTAAATTAGCCTAAAACTTGATTTATGTAAGATTAAACAAAGACTTACATGGAATTAAACAAAGAAAAAAATGACAAAAAGTTAAAAATGTATGTTCATGTCTAAAACATTGCTAAATTAGATTAGGAATGATGATGTGGTATCTCTTCTGACAAAGACAGAAGATACCACTGAAACATGTCAAGGTAATACCTATATTTTCTGAACAAACAAATGAATGTGAAAGCAACTCTAAATCAGCATCCTAACTTCTAGACCACATATTTTAGGCCTATTAAATGTTCACGCGCACACATAGCCTACCTGGTTTTACAGTGAGTTGGTAGTTTATGGACTGGACCTCCTTGTCGGCCAGTATTCCTTTGCAGATGTAGCAGTCATTGTACTCCTTCTGTGAGTTGGAGATGGTGATGCCCTGCTCCAGACTAGTGGTGTATTCTAGACCAGTGGGCAGGCCTTTACCAGAGCAGGTTTGAAGGTGCAACTTATCCAAACTTGGGTCTGTCGCTAAGCAGGGAATAGTCACTGTATCTCCTTCTCGTGTCAATAAATGATCCACCATTGATTTTATGAAGGGATTGTCAGGATCTAACAAAAGAAAGAATGAAACAAATGTGATATCAAAGCTGGAGGCAAAACAGTCAATCATAAGTGCTAAAAAAACACTTGGGGTTTGCATTACTGCCAGAGACTTGTTGTAATTTACCAGACATGCTGCCTTTTACACCTCAACCTGGCAGTGAGTTGGTCATTTTCATCATCACAACATTGTCAAACAAACTCTGATTTGTTTCTCACAAGCTCAAACAGAAATGCAAACTCTCATACACCCAGCCCTGTTTCAAAATAATCTTAACAAAGGATAGAACGCTCCCATCCGATGCATTTCCAAATGCTTTATTGCTTTATTACTATAATATCCTACTAGCTACACCCACTGAACGTGCTTAGACTTCCTTTCCTTCACCACCACAAATAAATAAATACTTAACTTTATTGGACAGCTTTCACTTGTGTTTAGTAGGTGGGTGTGGTATGTTGGCTTATGGGTTAGATGTATAGACTGTGTATATATATATATATATATACATATATATATATATCTCCCAAATCCCAAATAGGAAGTGCTCATGGGAGCATTTCCAGCTCCATCAATTTTCGATACAATCAAAAATGTTCACCCCTCTCTCTGTAATTGCTATTGTGAGCCTCGTCATTTTTAAATTAAAATGTTTATATTAACCAGCTGTGCATGTTTCTGGTGTTTTTATTTCACTATTTTGTACGTAAGTAAATTCCGATTCATAATATGAACCTGGCTCTAGATATAACTCACTCCTATAACTGCTAGTCTCATGAGCTTCATATGACAGGAGCTGAATGCTATAGGTGACATTACATTTCACTACTTTATACAGTCTGTGGTTAGAAAACATGCATCAAACTGTAGCCTCTTACCCAAGAACTTGCATTTGAATTAATTATCCTATTGATGATTTTGCTTCTGAAACATCCAGACGATAACATATGTATTCAAATTAATTCAACTGTTTGAAGAGGAAGGAGGGGTAGTCTGTTTTTCACACATAGCACACATAATGATTTCTTAATTTAAATGTGCCACTCTCACTACAATGAAGTCTATAAAAGCTGACCTTACCCCCAGCTTCATACTATCAGTAAATGAGAATTAACAGTTGTTGTTTCAGACATGGACCAGTAAATGATCAACAAAAACAAACAAAACCAACCAACCAAACAAACAAACAAACAAAAAAACACACTCCCAAATGCCCCAATAAACAGGTAAAATACCACTTGAACTGTACCAGCCATGACAATCTTACCATACTGCAAACAGGCATACAAAAATGTTAAATATTTGGTTGTAATAATGACTAAGATGGACCAAAATACAATGATGGTCAATTTAAATCGTTACCTCACAGAAGATTCAGAAGATTCAGTTAACCCATTGATTTTTAGTCTTAATTGGGCTTGGTGTTCAATCAAAAATACTCTAACTCTACGGTGTGATAAATGCAAATAACAGCCATTTGTGTGGTTATACACCTTTTGTGTTTTCATTATATTCTAGTCCTTTCATCAAACATGTTGGATCCTGAGCTTTAGTAATCATGGGTTTCAGGGTGAGACGTAACAATTCTAAACAAAATTGCCTTTTGTTTGAGTTGTCAAAAGAAGCCCATAAGAAGAAAAGGCCATGTGACTGAAACTCATAAATGTATAACAAAAGCTAAATTTCAGGTTTTGAGCGTATCCCTAAATCCAGAAAACACATGCAGAAACCAGCAGGGTGAGTCAAGTGTTACAGATTGATATTTTGAGCATCAGTGGAACCTTTCAGTTACAAATATCAAACAATAAAGACAAAATTTGCCAGTCTCTCAGTACTGGAATGCAGTTTATACTGTTAAGCACAGTCTGTTTCTACTTTGCTAAATTCCTTTGAAGATATAAATTATCCAAATCTGATTCAACACACACCGACATTTTGACAGGGGAACGTACCTCTGACAAAGACATAAATCGATGTTTGTAGCCCAGACAGTTCCTCGGAACAGATGTAGCGTCCCGTATGAAAAATGAGAGCTCGCTGGAAGCGCACCGTGGACATCCCATCCTGTACCTCGGGGCGCAATCTGGAACGGCCCTCCCTCTTCCAGTGCATCACCCTGTCACCCTGGCAACGCAGACCAAAGGGTTGGCTAAGTTCTACCACCATGTACGTCCCAAGGGTGAGGTGGGAGTGGATGACCAGGTTGGAGGTGTCGGGGGTGATGGAAGGCTTGGTGTCACCTGTAGAGCAAATATGGAACTTATTATTCAAACAGAACATGACCCATATCGGTAGCCTGATTCATCAGATGGTTTCACTTTATAGAAACCGTCTGACCTCACAATACTGGAATTTGTTCGCTCAACGGTAGGCGGGCACATTTTTTATTTAATCAATCGCTGTTATTTGGTTGTGATGTATGTAATGCACCGTTAATGGGACTAACTGGTATATTAAGCTTTTCTCAACTCCCGTAGGATGTTCATCAAACATTCTCTTTGTTCCGGTTTTAAATCCTCGATCTCAGGAATCGTTGCCAACACAGAATGTACGGCTCTTTGCTGATTGGCTGCTGCCCGGACTCGCACTTCCAGGGTTCTTGCAAACCATCTAGTGTATTCTAATTCCTGACCTAGTCTCTGGAGAGAAATTAAATTGAGGGGAGGCACTAGGTGGCGCCATCCTGGCTACCATATCGGTCCCTACATAGAAATTGTTACTGCTCCTACAGCCAAGTTTTAAGTATAGGTATTGTAGAATATTGTGGTGTCACGTGAACCCAACCTAATAGATACACACAAGACTTTAATTAATCATAGTATATATAACTAATATGATATTATTATAATATATTACTAATGTTTGTTTGGTTGATTAATCATCTCAATCGACCAACATTTTACTTGTGGACTAATTATTTGACCAGAATAAGAGGGATTTATATGCACAATAGCATGAAGGAAAAGGCATGGAGGGTGGTCCTGTGAAGTCAGATATAAGGTCAGATCCTAGAGATACTGTTTTGAAAGCTTCCACCCCCTCTAAGTGAAAAAACATGTTTATACAGTATATATGTACATAAGAGGTATATGATATATGACATTAAAGGGAACATATTACACTATTTTGACATCTATGTTATAATGTTGTTTCCTTATCAAAACATACCCAGAGTAGTGTTTTATTTCATTCACAAATGTTTACTACAGAAATCCTGAATATTCTGATGTCACTTGCTAATACAGGTGCTCAACTGTGTGTTTAAACTCCACACATCTTCATATGGAATGTGAAATAATATGGATGATTTTAGCCCTGGAATTTCCCATCTCTACTAAAGAAAAGGCAAAAGTTATCTGTTAACCTGAAAACGTTTGTGACGTCACAAAGTGGAACAAAGCATTTAGAGCTTAATAGATATAAACAGACTAATAATAAAAGAGTCAATTTTGCATACTACTGATCCTTTAATGTGCGAACTGAGTCTGTGTCATAGAAATAGCAAACCACAACATCTCAATTAGTTGTATATCCAATTCACTCGGCTGTTGACTGGTTAACATTTGTCAAACTTGCCAAGAAAAATTTGGCATGATGCATTTCCTAACAAAACAATCACTTCCAGAGATTCAACTCCACAAATTAGTTTAGCTTGTAATTACAGCATTCTTAACTAAAGCTGCCAGTTATTGGAGGCGTTTAAATGTTATCAAACTGTCATCAGAAAATGATATCTATATCATCAAAATGCCACAGTGATAATGTTTTGTAAAGATCACAGTGACATTCCAGCAACTAAATCAACAAACTGGTGTATTGTCAGATGGTTATTGTTGAAGGGATGCTTTCTGAAGTTGTAATCTGCAAATCCAACTAAAAACAGGTGGGGGAGAGTGTGTGAGTAATGGTTTTCTCTTCCTCTGTGAAAACATCTCCAAAATGAGGTTTCAAAAGTTGCTTCCTCAAACGCTGTGGGAGTCTGTTGTCTGCAGCCTCCGCAACTACAGCAGTGGGAGTGTGAAGGAGCCTCACAGAGCAGTTTAAACCATTAAGCCAGTTCTAATTATACAAGTATTCAGCTTTTGTTTATTGTAATTTCGAGATAGAAGGTACTACTACTGTCATACTTTATCGTATGGCATACTGGTATATTTCCCAGTCAGATAACAGTAACGTTCTGTAGAAACTGGATTGATAAAATTCCACAGAAATTTTTTGGAATGTTGCTTCTCTGTATAGTTAAAGGTTCTCTTGTGAAATGTGAAAAAGGCAGTAGTAGACATGCCGGACTAGGTCTAATCACAGGTAATGTTGACTTGTACTTGTGTTTGCAGAAGTGGGGGCTGTAAGGATAAGGATGCTAAAGGCTGAATTTGAAAGTAGATCCCCTGACCACTTGTAAACAAACACGAGTCAACCACTCAAAGTAATTAGCTTTGTCAAACTTCTGTTATCATACTAACACAAACAAACACTTATATTCTGTGGTCATTGTAATACAAAACAACCAGAATAAGACAAATGTAACAGCCATTTAGTCCTCCTGTATCTTTTGTCATGTTTTGGTACTTTTGGTTTATGTTCATGACTTAGATGAGGTCCACCTGTGTTTCTGTGTTTGTCCTGAGGTTACACTTTGTACTAAGAGTGGACCACTTTATGGTTCTCCTATTTTGATAAGCTTGACTACCTCTGATGGAAAAGACAAGGATAATGGACTTTTTACAGTCTGTAAAGCTAATACAGATTATCACAGCTTTGTATAGCACTGTATATTAAAATGACTTTCAGTTTATTCTGTATGTATGCACAAAGAGCATTGTCCATCAAAACTTTTTAGAAGACAGTGTGAATTTCTGTTGTGTGGACCGGGTTCTAGATCTCATAAGCTCTTTGATAGTTGGAAGGAAATTAAACCATTGAGATGCTTGTAATTTTACACTGGTGCAAAATTACAAGCAGAGCCTAAATATGAATTGGGCTGATTTAAAACAACAATTGAAAAACTAAGTGATGAACTAATAACTGAAGCGTACTGTGGTCATACATGTGCATGTAAAATTTAATCAGGATCACCAGGAAAAGTTCAAATCAGGAGTGATGAGGAGCTAATTTCTTGGAAGTTTTCTTAATGCAACAATAAACTAGTCAAACTCGCTGCGTTTATCACATGAGAGTTCTGGTCCCTGAGCTGTGGACTTCACTGTGGCCCTGTAGTGACATATGGCACGGCCTCCTGTTCTTACACGAAGCAAAGAGCAGCTGCCCATTACAACTAACAGGGCGCGGGATACAGACCATCCACAGGACGCACAGGGGCCAAATAATGCACGGTCTACTGAAGCTGTGCCAACAAACAAGGAACAAAGTAGGGAGTTGTAGTCAAAGCGAGTGGAAAGAACAACGTAATAAACTAAACTAAAACATAACCAAATTAGGCTGTAAATGTTGTAAAATGAAAAAGAGGTGTTAATGTGCCTCCATCTCCGCCGTAAATGATGGTGCCAAACACGGAATTTAAAATTCAAATTCAGCACAGTGAAATGATAGGACTCTTTGGGCCGCTCTTAAACACGCTCGGAGCTTGTTTAATAAAATGTCAACACTAATTTGCATACCACAAAGTTATCAAGAAACTGTCATCTTTCCCAATGCTGACTATTACAGGAAAAAAGCTCAAACAACAAGTTGAGACTGCGCTGCCGCCTGCGTGCACCGCATTCATTATTGAGAACGCGCTCTTGGCTTACCGCTTAAGTATCCCCTTTCTTTATTATGTGTCGATAAGGCTTTACATACGCCACTTAATAGAAACAAAGAAACATGCCAAGACCCGCGACATAGGAGTACAGTGAACCGACTGACTTCACAAGTGGATTATGCTTAACCCCACCTGTTGCAATAAAAGTAAGCAGTTAAATTGTAAATAAAGTGATAACGCCTTACCTGGGTGAAAGGTTAAGTGCAGAAAGACAGACAAGAGTATCCAATGGTATTCCATAGTGATTATTCCATGGGTTTGACGAGGTGCGCCAGCGGCTCTCTGCTCCGAGCGTCCGTCTGTCTCTCGTCCTATGCTCCTGTGTAGTGGCGTTGGCAGCGCGCTTCACTTGTGGAGAAGTTCTATGAGGAGCCCACAACCGCGTTTAAAGCTGCAGATGCTCAACTTGCGACAAAAGCAGAGGCCGAAGCAACACAGAGATGAATTGCCTGTGCATAAACATGGTGAGGAGCGCTGAAGTGGCGTGCAGGAGGAAAACAGTATGAGCAGGTACCAGTTTAGTCCCGTGTGTCGCTCAGCTGTGCGCTCTGGGACAGACTGTGAGCGGCGGTGGCGTCGTCAACATGTTTATGAGCAGCGCGAGACTCACACACCAGGGGGAGGCGTTTGGAAAGGGGACTGCTTCACACGAACTGACTTTCTTATTTCTATAGGCCGGCCGAAATAAAGTAAGCTCTTCAGCCAAAAACTCAAAATATAAATAAGTAAAATGTACAAGTTAATCTCTAAAATAAAGTGCATCTCTAAATTTTGCCTACTAAATTGAAAAGGCAGTTTAAAGGAGCACTTCGTAACTTTTCTGGTGGAGGATCTGCAACCTGCTTGTTTCAGTGAAGATGTTACTGCTTTACCAGAAATGTTCCACAGTAGAGCAATGAATCCTTCTTGTGAATCTTTCTTATCTTCCTTGTGTTTATCCGATTACAGATGTTTTATTGCTGAAATAAGTTTGATGGCATAATCTGAATGTCTTCATGAAGATATGTTTAATGCCATACAATGGACCATGCCAGCCAGACAGAGCAATTACGTCGTCATGCAGACAAGCAGGTTTTGGGTCCTCGTGAACCATAAAAGTCACATATTGCACCTTTATAGAGTCAAATATGTGTCAGGTTTGATCCACTGGTCTGGTCTACCCTTGGCCTCTTTGTATGAAGTCTGAGTACTTTCTGTCTTTGTCATGATAGGAAAGGAGGCTCAGAGCATTTGGGTTTGTCATTAGTTGGTAACAATGAGATGACTAATTGTTTAGACTATGTAATCTCCTACGGCTTTACCCTGTGAATAGGCTACACTTTAAAGATGCACTGTGTAACTTTTTGGTTGAGGGTCCATCATGTTGTTGTTTCTATAGGAATGTTCTACAGTATGACATTAAACAGATCTAGCTTACATTTATTCAGTTACAGGTGGTTTTATAGCTCAAAATTACAGGCATTCTGACTGTGAGTGGGGCTGCGTCTCCACAGATCTGCCCAGTAACTTGGCCAGGTTTGATCTCAGTGTTGATAGAAAGGTTTAATGCCATACTGTAAAACATTTCAGACAAAGAAATAACATCTTCATGGAGAAAAGCAGGTGGCAAAAAACAAAAAGTTTAAGCAACAACAGCACCAAAACAAAGTGCAGCTTATCTTCTGACCTGCATACTTTCCTCCTGACACTGTATTTATGTTTCTTAAAATGTTTCTTAACAAGTAGAACACCAGTAGCAACAAAAACAACTTTATTTCCAGTTATTGCCAAGGTAAAATCTTTATGCGATTTACATGTGTATACACTGCATGCACTGACTTGATTTAGTTCATTAACCTAATCTATGGGACCACACACAGCAGTCCCACAGCTAGGGAAAAGGGATTAGGAAAGAAGTTCCTGATGTCCCTTGTAAAGCTCTTATTATTGCTGCTCATTATGTTCACACCTTGGACATTAAAACTTTATGAGCACACTGACGGTACAGCGTTTGTTTTTATGTCTTCAGCCTGTCCTCAAACAATCCGGAGAAACTAAACCAAATCTCTTTTACCTCTGTATCTCACCAATCTCATGAAAAAAGCACTCCAAATGAATAATTATTACTCATTAGAGATGTTTTGTGTATGGGACAGGTGCAGCAGACATAACTAGCACCATTGATAAGAGACTCACACTGTTCTTTACCTTTGCCGCAGGTGAAACAGCATAAAGTCCAATTGAAATTACCTGTATTTCTAGGGTAGGTTCGATGCCGGTCCAGATGTGGTCACTGCTTGGTGCCACCATTAAACAGCTGTACCTCATGTTCCTTTTAGGCATTTTTGGTGATGACGTTAAGTGCGATTTACTAATAATCATTTTGACTAATATTTTCCATAGTTTGTGTGGTCAAAAGGATTTTAAGTGTTTAGTAGGGCTGGGTATGATTAAGAAGTTGTTGATATGATATGTACCTTTTTCGGTTGAATACAATATATTTAAAACTGTTTTGATGTGGTTCAGTAAAAAACAAACATTTTTGGCCCTTTCTTAATCCTCAACCGCATTAAAAAAAATAATCCAAAAAAAATTTAATGACTAAAAACTACTAAATCATGGCTGTGATACTAAAAGTCTGATTTTGGTTTTGGTTAAACAAAGCTTCTAAAAATTTCAACTCTAAAATATCAGTGCACTGACATTTTAAAAAATGTTTCCAAATGTACCATGAAAAACAATGAAAAGTACAGTTCTGTATGTGCTCTTTTGAACAGAAACACAAAAATGCACTCCTAAAAACTACTGTTATGAGATCTAAACAAAAGAGTCACAGAGATTACAGAGCAGAAAGACTATGTTATTTAAACTTGAAGATGCTATTTGAACCAAACGTCTTATGCATGAAGTCCTTCACATGAATCCAAAACTATGGAGATAATATAGTAAATGAATATGCAAGTTGATTTGGGGTTAAATTGGAGTACAGGTAAATAACAGAAGTTGTACATTTTACAAGCCATACAAAAAGTGGTAAACAAGTCAAGTCAAACAAGAGCACTGAAAACTCTTGATAAATACACAAAGGTTTCATTATGTCAGTTACAAACTCATTTAGTATTGGACATATTGACCCTTAAGAGGCCTTCCTATACTAGTAGTGGTTATAGCTCAAAGGACTAACTTGAGATTTATAATATTTTGTGCTAATGTTTTACACAATACAAAAAGTCTGCACTCTTTTAAAGCTATAAAGACTCACTGCTAACATGTTCATCATAAAATGTCACAATGAATCACAATAAATCATAAAACTTAATAGGTCCTCCATCTGCATCACACATGTGTAATTATTGGGAGCTATAAGATTCAAAGTGTAAAGTGTCTAGGTACAGTGTGAGTGTTAAGTATAGGCCCAGCTGCTGTATTATTTAACACAATGTTTCCTGACATGCTTCGACAAAGACAGGACACATGACAGGCAAATTACCATCGCTCATTCTCGCTCTACTACACACTCTTTAAACACATATGTACAGTGGACTGAGCTTTCACATGAGGAGGCTCTTAGTTAAAAAGGAATACACAGATTCATTTGTTATTGAATATGCTGAATTATTATTCACAGACAAGTGTTAAAAGCTCAAATGGCATACACTCTGAAATCTAATCTCTAATCGGACTTCCTCAAAGCATTAAGTGTGCTAAAAGAGCCATCCATAATCACACATTGATTTTCCCTTTCACACAAATTGAGCTTTGGATAAACAGAAATGATTTTTGGTTTAATCTGCACGTGCAGCTTGTTGTGATGGTCAACTTTCTCTCATTGTGTCTGTACAGCATAACAACCACGACTGAAGGCAAGCTGACATTGTAAATGAAAAAGTATATAGAATAGTATATATGTATAGAATGTACAGATAACAAAAGTCTGACACATTAAAATCATGGTATGGCCAAGTGTTGTAAAGATTTAAATTATTGAAAACACTAGTTCATGACCAAAAGGACAAGACCTGAAAGCCAAGTTCAGAGCAACTGGGCACTCCCCTAGTCGACCAGGAGCAGCTTGGAATAGAGCCGCTCCTCCATAACGGTCAACTAATGTAGCTTGGCTTGGTTTTCTGGGCATGTTTCTACTGGAGAATGCCCCATGGAAAGCTTAAGACACACTGTAAGGACTAACTCTGACCGAAGCAACACTCACAAATAAAAAAACAACAACTATGCAAGACAATACTTTTTCTGTCAAGACAAGATATCCAGAATAACCACTCTAATTTGTTCCAGGAAGTGGGGGAATACACAGTACTCATCCATTTCAACTCATACACACTGTGTTCACGCTAATCATGTGAACAGATCGTCAGGAAAAGGATAGGAAATGTTTGGATTATGAAATTGAAAAATGAGCACACAAGTCCCAAAGACTGCATAAACCTACCAGTCCTGTCATTTAGACCTCGGTAAACATGTTCTGAAATGTAGCTATTGCTATAATACATATATATTCTAGTTATCTCTCAAACGTTTCTGCTCCCAGATGTAAATTTTGATATTTCTTCAAAATGTTTCAGGGCTATAACACAACTTTGTATATACAGCCGCCATTGTACAACTACTTGAATAGATTTTATATTATTTTCTGGAATACTGATACAACTATGAGTCTACTGTAACCTGTGGCTTGTAAAAAGTGCATGTGATCGAATAGACACAGACGCACTTACACTGAATCAGATATCAGAACAACAAGCCCTTGTGTCGCTCTGTGAAAAGTCCATTAAATAGATGTTGTAAGATGGTGGGAATAGCACCAGATGGGTAACAGGAGAACCACTCCTAATTCCTAAATTCCAATTCTGAAATAGATCCTGGATGTGGAGTTTGTGGCAATCTAAAAAAGTCCTAACAAAGTATTAACTATATTGCACAAATGTCTTTACAAAATAAATAAAATGTTTTATTTTGGAATGAGTATAATCCCTAACGAACGTGCATCAAATAATGACCCTTTCAAGTGCATGGAGATGATATGAGAACCAGCGCTGCTCTGATCCCTTCATTTAAAGTGAAGCCTGTCCTCACTCTCTCGATCACCTGGAGGTCTGGGAGTGATTTAAAGTTAAAAAAAATGATCAGTGGAGTGCACTGATCTGGTCATGGTTTGGTTCAGCATAAATACTTTTTAGTTAAAGTTTGAAAGGTCAATTCAATTTAATTCAAATTTTCATTGTAAAAGTGTGTGTTGTTGGTGTAATACGACAAGACATGAGCTGGGTTCAAGTGACTTCTATGACTAATTATTGGTTCATTCTGTTATTTATTTCTGGCAGCTCAGGCTTTTTGAATACTTTGATACTGTATATATTAAAAAAATGGTCTACTGGAATTATCGTGCAATATTGTTATTGTGTCAGCAGCATAAAGTAGTTTCATTATCATAGTTTATTGCAGTATATCTCTGTAGCGATATATCATGCTTCAAATTTTTTTATCATGACTACAGAAAACTACCAATATTCATTTTTACATTCATTTATTTATTAATGGTTTATATCAGT